CGCGGCCACCCAGGCTGCTGTGCCGCACGCGGCAGACGTAGCTGTGCCCATCGCCGGGCGCCATGGCCACGACGCGGCGCAAGTGGTAGGTGAGGTCAGCGTTGGGCAGCAGCGGCGTGGACCCCAGCGTGGGATCCGGGGGCACCTCGTGCCCATCCCGCAACCAGGACACGTGCACAGCGCTGGGGTAGAAGCCGGTGATGCGGCACACGAGAAGCAGCCGCGATGGGTCGGGCGTCTGACGGGCAAAGACCACGGCCACTGGTCGCACTAGGAGGGTCAAGAGCCATGGTCATTCGAGCATGTCAATGTGGTGGACACATCCAACACCATGGGGCAGTTGGGCTGACCACAGCATGGTTGGACTGACCATGGGGTGATTGGGTTGACCACAGCATGGTTGGGTTGACCATGGAATGGTTGGGCTGACCATGGGGTGGTTGGGTTGACCACAGCATGGTTGGGTTGCCCACGGGATGGTTGGGTTGGCCATTGAATGGTTGGGCTGACCATGGTGTGGTTGGGTTGACCACGGCATGGTTGGGTTGACCATGGAATGGTTGGGCTGACCATGGGGTGGTTGGGTTGACCACAGCATGGTTGGGTTGACTATGGCATGGTTGGGTTGGCCATTGAATGGTTGGGCTGACCATGGTGTGGTTGGGTTGACCACGGCATGGTTGGGTTGACCATGGAATGGTTGGGCTGACCATGGTGTGGTTGGGTTGACCACAGCATGGTTGGGTTGGCCATGGAATGGTTGGGCTGACCATGGTGTGGTTGGGTTGACCACGGCATGGTTGGGTTGACCATGGAATGGTTGGGCTGACCACAGCATGGTTAGGTTGACCACGGCATGGTTGAGTTGACCACGGGTGGCCTCACCTTTCCTCTCCAGATCCTCCTTGGCGGCGCGCAGGATCATCTCCATGTCATCGATGCACGTGTTGTTGAAGAGCACCTGGATGAGCTCCGTGAAGGCCGTGTAGTTCTCCAGCCTCTCCCTCACATACTTGGCCAGCTCTGTGTCCTGCAGCAGCAACCAAGTCCCGTTGTCCATGTCATAGGTGAGGAAGTCATCGCCGTTGTAGGCCACGTAGACGAAGGGCTTGCCGGTGTTGTTGGGGAAGAGCTCGCAGCCGGCGGTGCACTGGGCCACGAAGGGAACTGCAGGGTGGGGAGAAGTGGGGAGAGCGGCTGGGGCAGCAGCAGGGGGTGATACCTGCTCAACCGACCCCTCCGACCACAACCCTAATGGCATCACTGGCCAACGCAGAGGGCAGCAGCGCTGAGACCCCAAGAACGTTGGGCAACAACATTGACACCCCAAGAATGGCCTTTCCCAAGGAGCTTGGGCAGGATGGGGACACATGGAGGAGGGAGGGAAGGGTGGACATCACCAGCTGTGCTATTGACAGGAGGGCAACCTGCGGGCACGGTGGGGATCTTGATGAGCGCCGTCACTTACAGGGCACCTGCTTCAACACGGCGCCTTCTTGGATGAGGTGGTGGAACTTGCTCAGGTAGATCTTGATCATGTCTCTGATGGTGTCCCAGTCGCTGCGGGGCAGCGCGGGGCGCACCCAGGGCTTCAGGAAGCGGATGTTCCAGGTGTGGCTGTCCAAGGTGCCCAGCGGGATGTCATCCAGGAACCCCATTCCCTCGGTGGCCACGTAGACAGTGTTGTGGAATGTGGTGGTCTGAAAGAGCTGCAGCACGGACGGACCGGACAGAGGCGGGAAGGCTGAGGGGGGAAAGGAGCTTGGAGCAACGGGGATGCACCCGGGGATCCCCTTGGGCACCAGCATCGCCATGCAGGAACCCAACGGCACCCGGAGCCACCCGGCTGGGTAGGGAAGTAACCGGCGCAGGTCTGAGGACCAACGTGGGTCCGGGGACCCACGTGGGGCTGAGGCCACCGCTGTGTCCCAGAGTCCCCCCCTTACCTGCTTCCAGGTCGCCGGAGGGTAGGAGGAGGATGAAGAGGAGCGAGGCCAGCATGGCACGGGCGGCAAGGACAAGATGGGCGCAAGCGAGTGGCGGTGACAGCGCCCGTGTGCCCAGGGCCGTCTGCGCTGCGTCAGACTGGGACCAACCAGCAGCCAATGGTGCTCAGGCTGAGGTTTCAAGGAGGGCTCCGGTGGTGGCAAGAAGGGTGAGTCACTGGCACCAGGGGGGTTTTGTCAAGGGCGGAGACATTGGTCACACGGGGACGAGGACGTTGCGAGTGGTTGAGCGCTCAGCCTGGCACTGCTGCGCAGACCCACCTGCTCCAGGGTTGGTGGCTTTGTCCCCAAGGCCACCACTCAGACCCAGTGTGGGCGTCTTTGCTGCCACTGCCCAATGGGGACCCGGTGCCATCAGGTCACCTTGGTGCAGCCTCCTGTCCTCAGCTGGGCCCCGGTGGCAGTCCTGGAAGGGCTGGGAGACCAGAGCCACCAGGATGGGATGGGATGGAAGGGGACAGGAGGGGGCAGGTGGCATCAAAGGAGACCCTGCACAGAGGACAGAGCGGGGACAGTGCTGGATGTTGGGGACATCGAGGTTTATTGGAAGGGGAGGACAGGGATGTGAGGGCATCGTGTTGCCTTTGGGGTGAAGGAGGGAGCCTCAGCGGTGATATCGCCACCGCCACCAAATGACCCCAGCGATGGCCGCGGCCACCATGAGGATGACGAGGATGACAATCCAGGTGACGTGGCCGGTTTTGGCTCCATTCGGATCTGCAATGGGGAGAAGCATCCGGAGGTGTGTGGTGACACTGACCACATGCGGGAGCTCCATGGAGCCACCGCCACGTCCCCGCACTGTCCCCATGACCTACCCCAGGGCACCATGAGGTCGCGGCCGCCCAGGCTGATGTGCTGCACGCGGCAGATGTATCTGTGCCCATCGCCGGGCGCCATGGCCACGACGCGGCGCAACTGGTAGGTGAGGTCGGCGTTGGGCAGCAGCGGCGTGGACCCCAGCTCGGGGTCCAGCGGCACCTCGTTCCCATCCCGCAACCAGGACACGCGCACGGCGCTGGGGTAGAAGCCGGTGACGCGGCACATGAGAAGCAGCCGCGATGGGTCGGGCGTCTGACGGGCGAAGACCACGGCCACTGGTGGCACTGGGGTGGACAACAGTCAAAGACAGTGAGCATGTCAATATGGTGATCACATCCAACACCAAGGAGCAGTTGGGTTGGGTTGGTTGGGTTGACCATGAGGTGGTTGGGTTGACCATGAGGTGGTTGGGTTGACCAAGGTGGCCTCACCTTGTCTCTGTAGCTCCTTCTGTCCGTGCTGGAGCAAACGCCTCGTGTACTCAATGCAGGTGACACTGAGGAACTCACGCAACGTGACCGAGAGCCCTATGACGCTGTTGAGTGCTGCCTCTATGCGCGCGGCCACCGCGTCCCCGCTCTGCTGCACCCAGAGGGCCTTGTCCACATCGAAGCTAATCAAGTCCTGCTCATTGTAGCCCATGTGGTAGAACTTGGTGGAGGAGCCGTTGGGATAGAGTTCGCAGCCCACCATGCTCTGGTACACAAAGGGGTCTGGCAGGGATGACATGGGGACACCGTCACCAGTGCCACCTGTGCCACAAGCCCAAAGTGGCATCTGCCACCTGCTCCCTTGGGTGTGACTCTTCACCCCGCTCCATCCCCAACCCTCCACTCATGGGATTTCTCCCCATCCTCTTGGTTGGGTAGAGTCAAGCGGGTGAGGCCGCACTGGGGAACCCATGGGATAAGGACCAGGGACAACCAAGTGCCATCTCCACATGGGATGAGCCCCTTCTGCCCAGGGAGCATTGGTTGCTCATCTTGACCCAGCCCCCATGATTGAAGGAGGACACTCAAGTGTGCGGGCACTCACAGGGCTCCCCGTGCTGCACGGCGTCCTCCTTGAGCAGCAGGATGAGGTTGCGCACGTAGATCTTGAAGAGGTTCTCCAGCTGCTGCCACTCGGCCTCTGACAAGGCCGGGAAGACCCAGGGGCGCCGGTAGATGATGTCCAACGTTGTGTCATGCAGGGTGCCCAAGGTGAGGCCATCCAGCTCCCCTGAGGTGCCCACATCCACCGTGGTGGGATTTTGGAAGGCCAAGGTGAGGAAGAGGCGGAGGGTGTGCAGCTCCGTGGTGAGAGGTGTTGAGGCTGCAGGAGAGGCACTGACACCATGACGGAAAGGAGGACACAGCACCGCAAAGAGGCCAGGTGGCCCATGGGGACCTCAGGGACACCTCAGCAAGACACTGCCACCAGCAAGGCCATGAGACGTGCAAGGAGGAGAGGGGAGGCCAAGGTGCCTGGAGGCTGCTGGGCTTTCATTGCGGCACTCGGAGGAGCCAGGAGGCCGTGGGTGAGCAGGAAGGAAGCAGAAGCCCAAGGGAGACGTTTGCAGTGGGATGTGGGGCAGGGACTTTGGAATAGCGAGTGGGGGACCCGGCCTCCATTTCAGAAGCGTGGGCTGGATGCAGCGCATCGGGTCTCCCCGTAACGGCGGGGCCGGGTGGGCCGGGTTCCTCCCCAGCCCCTCATGATGCCGGAGCCGACGGCGCCCACCCGTGCACGGCCGCGAGCTCCAGGTTTGAGGAAGGAAAGGAGAGCGGGACGGGAGGCCCCATTGCGTGCGTTGGGGACAGAGGGCTCCCCCTTACCCCCGAGAAGCCTCCAAGTGACGAGGAGGAGCGGGAGGAGACGCAGCAACATCGCGCCGGGCGCGGAGGAACCGGAGGAGGACACTGCGGCCGCGCACGGGACGCAGACAGACGTCTCTCCCGGGGGACGGATCGCGGTGGTGGCTGGTTCCACCTGGTGGCCAATGGGGCCCGAGCGGAGGTTTTGGGGAGGGACGGAGGGTGCAGTCCCCAGAGGCGCTCGGCTGCGTCGTGCGGGGACAGGGATGAGTCACCAGGGCGGTGGCAGCTTCTAGAGAACCAGGGTGGTTTCCCCTTCCTGCAGGTTGCGGGTGGGCAGCCCCCATGGGTGCAGTGAACCTGAGGCACCCAAGTGGTGGTCCCCATCGCTCGTCACCCCGGGGTGCTCTGCCGAATCCGGACGCTGACACCGGATGGATGCTCAACTGCCCTTGCGGGTGGACGTAGAGGTCGGGTGTCCTCCAGAGCCACCGCGCTGATGCTCCTTGGCCATTGGGACGGGTTGAAGAGCGACGATGTTGGGGGACACCCAGCAGGGCCATGGGGGCTTGTGCGGGCGCTGCCTCCCCCTCGCCCTGCACTTCTCGGTGCCCCACCAGGTCCTACCGGGACTCGTTCCAGTAGCTCCACATCCCTCTTGTCCAGGGACTGGGCCATGATCCCCTCCCTAAACCTGCTGGGGATGCTCTGCCCAACGTCCCCAAGGTCCTCTTGGTCTTCTTGGCCACCAGGGCCCATCTCTGTCCATGGTCACCTTGGAGGCCACCTGGACCTTATTCATGGAGCTGCTCTCCAGCAGGTCAACCCCGTCCTGTCCCTTCATGAAGGACAGGGATGAAGATGTTGGGCAAGGCCGGACCCAGAGAGGAGCCTTGAGGGCCACCCATAGTTACAGGTCTCCAACTAGACTCTGCGTCTGCCCTTCAGCTGGGTCTCACCACCCGCTGCCACCACCCACCTCACTGTCCCCTCATCCAGCCTACAAAGATGTTTTGGGACACAGTATAGAGGAGATGGCCCTTAAGTCCCCTGTCTTGACCATGAAAACAGCCTCAGATCCCTCATTCCCATCCAAAAATGAGAACGGTTCCAAGTCCCCAACTCTCCAAGTGGCCCAACATGGGCCTGGCTCCAGGTCCCCACTGCCCTCCAGTCTACTGGGAACCCAAAACCTCCGGTCACATCAAGGCCAACCCCGAGTCGGTGCGTGAGATTGTTCCAGGAGGTGGGAAGAGCGATGGCCATGAGTTCCTCAAACCGTGGTGTTGCCAGGTCCTGGAAGCGGCATCATTCTGGCACTTCCCACCTCCGTGTCCCAGGTAGAACAAGTCCAGTACCATTGATGACGGGGCGCTATATGAGGAAGCCCGGGCGCCGGACGGCATCCACGTCCTCGTAGCTCCTGGAGGGAAAGACCGGGACAAGTTGGGCATCGTGTCCAAGCAGGGAGCAATTCCCGCTTCATCCCGGGTACCGACGGAAAGGGAAGGGGAGGGACGACCCTCACTTGCGCCGCCGCCACCACAAGACGCCAGCAATGGCCACAGCTACCATGAGGAGGATGACAATGATGATCCAGGTGACATGGCTGGTTTTGGCTCCATCCGGACCTGTGGATGGGGAGAAGCATCCGGACGCGTGCAGTGACACCAAGTGGCATCATCCACGCGTCACCGTCACCTACCCCAGGGCAGCAGGAGGTCGCGGCCACCCAGGCTGCTGTGTTGCACGCGGCAGACGTAGCTGTGCCCATCGCCGGGCGCCATGGCCACGACGCGGCGCAACTGATAGGTGAGGTCGGCGTTAGGCAGCAGCGGCATGGAGCCAAGCGTGGGATCCGGGGGCACCTCGTGCCCATCCCGCAACCAGGACACGCGCACAGCGCTGGGGTAGAAGCCGGTGACGCGGCACACGAGAAGCAGCCGCGATGGGTCGGGTGTCTGACGAGCGAAGACCACGGCCATTGGTTGAACTAGGACAGGCAACAGTCAAGGTCACTTGGGCACATCATGGTGGCCCCATCAAGCACCATGGGTTGTGATTGGGTTGACCATGACGTGGTTGGATTGCCCATGGTGTGGTTGGGTTGACTATGGTTGGCCTCACCTTGCCTCTCCAGATCCTCCTTCCCCAACTGGGACAGGGCACGGAGGCTCTTGGGGCAGGTGACATTGAGGATATGCGTGAAGGTGACGCTGGTGCCCTCATCGTTGTTCAGTGTTGCCTGCACGTCGCGTGCCAGGTCGTCATCTCGCCACCGCGTCCAGCTGCCGTTGCGTGGGCTGAAGCTGAGGAAGTCCTGGCCCTCGTAGGCAGCCTTAAAGAAGCTGTCATCGTCGGGAGCCACGTGGCAGCCAACGAAGCACTGAACGATCATGGGGTCTACAAGGCATGGAGGAGCCACCGTGAGCCCCATATTGACCAGGACCAACCCAACAACATGTCCATCATGGAGGACTTGGTGGGCACCGTCGTGATCCCCAAAGAGGCCAAGACCAACCCAACACCACGGCCATCATGGAGGACTTGGTGGGCACCATCGTGATCCCCAAAGAGGCTGACCGACCTAACACCACGGCCATCATGGAGGACTTGGTGGGCACCGTCGTGATCCCCAAAGAGGCCAAGACCAACCCAACACCACAGCCATCATGGAGGACTTGGTGGGCACCACTGTGATCCCCAAAGAGGCTGACCAACCCAACACCGCAGCCATCATGGAGGACTTGGTGGGCACCACCATGAGCCCCAAAGCGGCCAGGACCAACCCAACACTGTGTCTATCATGGAGAACTTGGTAGACACCATCGTGAACCCAAAGTGGCCAGGACCAACCCAACACCATGTCCATCATGGTGGACAAGTCGCTTCTCCAAGACCTGTTCTTGAAGGTCTGATGGGACCAGCTGGTTGGTGGTGTTGGGATGAGCCCAGCGGGGTCTCTCCGATGCTCCTCCTCGACACCGGGTCCTACTCACACGTGAGGGCCTTGCGCCGGGCCAGCTGGTCCACCATGTGGGCGAGGTTGTGAAGGTAGGAGTTGAAGAGGAACTCCAGGTCGACCCAGACTCTTGGCGCTAAGGCCGGGGAGACCCAAGGGCGGAGGAAGCGGATCTTGTGGCTCCGTGGCTCCCAGGCTGCGGCCTCCACGTCACCCAGCAGCGCCAGCCCCACGGTGTAGGACACGCCGGGTTGCAGGAAGCTGCTGCTCTGGAGCACATGGAGAGCGAGGGGATCTGGCAAGAGAGTGGGGCCGCAGGGTGGCCCCTCGGTTGGGAGAACCTTCCCCACACACTGGTGGCCCCAAAACACATCCCCTTTGGTCAGGAGACCCTTCTCCAGGTGCTGGTGGCCTCCAAAATATATCCCCTTGGTCAGGAGAACCTTCTCTGGGTGCTAGTGGTCTCCTACACCATGTCCCCTTGGTCAGAAGAACCTTCCCCAGGTGCTGGTGGCCCCCAAAATATATCCCCTTGGTCAGGAGAACCTTCTCTGGGTGTTAGTGGTCTCCTACACCATGTCTTCTTGGTCAGAGGAACCTTCCCCAGGTGCTGGTGGCCTCCAAAATATATCCCCTTGGTCAGGAGAACCTTCTCTGGCTGCTAGTGGTCTCCTACACCATGTCCCCTTGGTCAGAAGAACCTTCCCCAGGTACTGGTCCCCCCAAACGACGTCCTCTCAGTCAGAAGAACCTTCTCAGTTGCTAGTGGCCTCCTACTTGGTCGCGAGAACCTGCTCTGGGTTCTGGTGGCCCCTAGACTAAGTCTCCTTGGTCAGGAGAACCTTCCTTAGGTGCTGGTAGCCCCCAGTCCACATCCCCTTGGTCAAGAGAAACTTCCCCAAGTGCTGGTGGCCCCCAAAACATGTCCGCCTTGGTCAGAAGTCCCATCTCCATGTGCTGGTGACCCCCACACCACATCCCCTTGGTTGGGGGAACCTTCTTGAGATGCTGGTGCCCCCCAGTCCACATCCCCTTGGTCAAGAGAAACTTCCCCAAGTGCTGGTGGCCCCCAAACCGCATCCCCTTGGTCAGAATAACCTTCCCTGGGTCTAGGGGACCCCAATCCACATCTCCTTGGACAGGAGAAGCTTCCCCAAGTGCTGGTGGCCCCCAAAACATGTCCGCCTTGGTCAGAAGTCCCCTCTCCATGCGCTGGTGACCCCCACATCACATCCCCTTGGTTGGGGGAACCTTCTTGAGGTGCTGGTGACCCCCAAACCAAGTCTCCTTGGTCAGGAGAACCTTCCCCAAGTGCCGGTGGCCCCCAACCCACATCACCTGGGTGGGGAGACCCCTCCCCATGTGCTGGTGGCCCTGGGAGGGGACAAGGAGCGGGAAGGGGTGTCAAAAGTAGCTCCCGCGGTTGCCACTTACCGTCGGGGACAGCCCCGGGGACGAGGAGGAGGAGGAGGAGGAGGGGACAGGGGCGCATGGCGGCTGGTGGCACAGAGGAGGCAGCGTCCTTGTCCCCGGGACCTCCCCGGATGTCCCCTGCGGTGGCTTCTCCGCCAATGGGGCGGTCGCTGGGGTTCCTGGAAGGGCTGAGCCCGCCCGCCCCCATGGAGGGGACGCGCTGGGTCACGCGACACGGGGACACGGGGACGCGGGGACACGGGGAGGGCGACGCGTCGCCCCCTGCCTGGCTCCTACCCCTTCGCATGTCCCCCAGGAGCGCGCGGGGACGTGTGTGGGACAACAAACGCACTGTGGGGACACGTGGCCTCCCGGGTCTGCCTATGGGGACAGCGGCGTCCCGGCCCCACGGCGCCCTTGTCCCCATAGT